ATTCAAAACTAAAGTAACGAGCCAATTTTTTAAAATGTAAGGAGTAGAAGTAAAAATTCGCCATAAAAAATAAGTAGTTAAGTAAAGTAATAATATCAGAAATATCTACTTGAGTACAGTAACGAAGAATTTGTACTTCGTTTCTTCCCATCTCTGTTTATAAATCACAATATTTGCATGGACGTTGCAGTTTGCAAGCTTTTTTTTAAATGAGGCCCCTGAATAAACTGCTGCTGAATGTGTGATATGAGCATAAACAGCCTACACAGGCTGTCAGGCACAGTGGTAGAGGGAAGGTTATCTGGGCTTGTTTTGGGGTCACAGGTGGAGCCTTTTCAAAGTATTCTAGAACCAAATGTGAATTCTTCTATCCACAGCAGTAGATCTACAGCAGAATGGCTGAAAAACAAAAGACGGCGGCGCTGCGATGACCTAGACAAAAGCCCCATTTACACTACCCTCTGAAAACCAATACGTGCCGAGCTTGGCGCAGTTAACCTCCTAGTGGCAATCCAAGGTACTACTTCTGTCTAGAGGTAAACAAGCAAACCAACATGGACGCCCCCGTAACATTCAGGAGGTTATGTTTTGTTATCTTTGTGATATTTTGTTGTTTGTGGAGGGACAGGCGAAGAAGGCTGCCTTTGGTGAATTTACTTGACAGAGTCGGCTTTTGGGAAGTGGATACGACAAACAATATTCTAATCAGGGCTTAAAGATGCAGGAAACAACCACGGACATTGAGGTTAATCACACTGCTAAGCATAATCATTACTGGAAATCGTGTGGCACGTAGGGAAGCTAGTATTTTTATGAATGCCTGAAATTTCATGATTACGGAGGCTGACAGAAAAGAGATGACGCGGTCTATTCGTGCGCTCTTTGTTATCTGAGAACTGAGCCAAAACTGAACCGTGCCGAGCCCTACTGATGAACTAGTACCAGTTTAGCGTGGTTCGGTTGTGTCTGGCGCGGTCCGGTTCAGTTTTGCGTGCCATTTACATTCAACAGTTCTCCCGGTTCCCATGCTCTAACCGATCCCGGCACGTTTCAGAGGGTAGTGTAAATAGGGCTTATGTCTAAACCTCAACCGGATGGACAGTTTGAATGAAAAAGAGGAGTTCCTGCTGCTAGTTGTTCTATAACAGATATCACGGACCCACCTGCTGGCTAATCCAGACCCAACCTGATTTAAAACATTTATAAATTACCGCATGTTGTCCGACGGTAGGGGTGTAAATCACACCCATCATGGCGATTCGATTCAGTATCGATTTCCTGACCCAACGATTCGATTATTTTCGATACTCAAGAATACACCACGATTCGATTCGATTGAATTCGAATAATCGATTAATTTTTTTTTTACACCTTACAGGCTAAACAAAGTTTCAAGTTTGAAATAAATCAATGAAAGCTGTAATATCGTTATGCATTTTTTTTT